CCAGCTCAGCCTGTACTGAAGTCTCCCAGCTCAGCCTGTACTGAAGTCTCCCAGCAGACTATAGTTTTAGCCAGGTTAGGTCGTCCCTCCCTAGAACACAGTAAGACTTCGTCGTTATTATTACCCCATAACGGGATAAATGGCAAAACGTCGACATTGTGATGACTAAGACACTGATGACAGAAGTCTGTATTGGCACAAATCGAATCGAATCGAGGACGACGAGAGCTGTCGTAAGATGGGAAGGAAGAAGGATAAGGAAGGATGGAAATAACTGGAAAAGGATGGGGGAGGAGGGGAAGAGGAGGAATCAAGGCAAATGGCCCAACCACTTTGGGACATGTGGTACAAAAGTACTGGAGACGTAGATAGAGAGGATTGACTGATGTCATTGCTTGGCTCACTAGGAGAGGATGGCGAAGGCAGCGGTAGGAGCTGGGAGTGTCAGAAGGCAGCAAGCAGGATGAGTTGGTTATGGTCTTAAACCGTTTATCAGTGCAGTAAATTGTTTTCGAGAGAGTTATATCACACTTATGGGAGAGCTGTAGTAGTATTCGTTGGTTTGGAGTTGGTGGAGTATCTGGTTGTAGGTAGGGAATGGTCTTTCTTCGCTTTGGTACGATACAGTGTTGTCTTGGAGATGTTGGATGAGTTCTAGGCGAGTCATGCCTTTGTGTTTAACCCATGGTGTTCCAGGTAATCGACGTGAGTTAAGTAGAGAAGGCGGTGGTGGAGTAGAGGAAGGTGGTGTTGCTTCGTTTTCAACTTCAGTAGACGAATTAGAAGATGTTTCTGGTGGTAAGGCTTCTGATTGGTTGGATTCAGTGAGAGGTGGTGGCGGTGGAGGCTTCTCATTGGTCGTTGTTGGATTGACGTCACTAGTTGGTGGTGTTGATGGAACTTCTGCAGAAGAGTTGGCGATTAAGTTTTTGGTGAATTTGAGAATTTCTTCAGACGGTGGAGATGCTGGAAATGTAAATGAAGGCATGTTATTTAATGCAAATAACTCGGTGATGGTAGAGTTAAATGATCCAGGTACAGCCATGTTTTGCATATGAGCGTATAGTAGACAGTAGTGAATCTTCGTTACCTCACATGTTGGAGGAGTGGTGGTGGTGGTGGAGGCGGGCTGAGTAGATGCTTGAAGTAATTTTGTAGTGTCTGCTTGTATTTTTGCAATTGCTGCATACGTTGGAGTGTTGCTAGTAGGTTTTTTCTTTGCTGCATCTTGTGTTTTCTTCATAATATCCTTTCTTGTAGGACATTTTGCTGCCAGTGTATGGTGATCATTACTCTTGCAGTTTAAGCACGCTGGTTGTGTTGGGAGCAGCAGCGGTGCAGGAACTGAAGGTGTGTCCCTCACTACCCCCATGTAGTGCAGAACTTCTTGTCTTTTACTGGACATGCTTTGGTGTGGATAGTATGAATAACAGTTCCAGCAATGTTGGATGTAGTGATATCTCTCTGCTTCAATGTAGGTAGGGCTGATGTAGTAGTAGTAGACAGCAAGACCTTCGTTCAGTGCAGTGGCAGCCATGTTCACGTCGTGAAGGTGACCTTGATCATGGACGTTGCATTTGGATTTTTGTAAATGCTGTCAACAGTAGCCCAAGTATTTTGCGTCTCGATGGATGACTTGAGTTCAGCAGGTGTTTGAGACGTCAGAATCTTGTCCAGTTTTTTTTAGGAATACTGATTTCCTTGCCCTGAGGCAGGAGATGACGTAACAGTAAACCCTTGAGTAGTAAGAGTAGTGATGGCTTCTGTAGTGAGTAGCTTCTCTGCTTCAGCATCATCGTGACACACAACAATGAATGCTTCTTTCAGTGACAATATGGTGTTGAATTTTACTTCCAGTGCTCCCTGAACAACAGTTGCAAGAGCAATCTTCGTTGAATCATCAACGGTACCATTTCTTGGTTTGATCTTTACACGATTTGCGTAGCTCATCGTGTAAGTCAAGGCGATGACAACGCTGGTAAAGGTTCCCCTCCCCAACGGGGATCGTAGGGAGACAGAGTAAGTAAGGAGAGCTGCTATGACCTGCCTGGGCGAGAGTCAAGAGCAGAATCATTTGTCATTTGTCTCTCTCTGAGAATCTATTGGCACAATGTTGGTGAAACCGTGTGTCAATAAAGACTCCTATACAGTCAGTGTCTTGCTTAGTAAAGACCTGTTGGGTTCTAAGTGTCTGCACGTCACTCATGTAACAACGTTTGCCGGAGAAACCTTCCCCCTCACCTGCTTGGTTCTCTACGCCTCGTGGGAGAGAACTTCATGGCTGAGGGGGGGGGGGAGTTCATTGCATCACTGGGTATTAGAATCTGACTTTTTATGCTTCCCCTCAAGCATTAACTCTCTCTCTCTCTCTCACACTCTCTCTCTGTCAGTCTATCTATTTTTTGTATCTACTATTTACTCAACTATTGTGGCTACTTGAGCCAGGTCTCAGCTCCTGGTCCCTTCATACAACTTACTTCACAAGATTACTGCCTCGTGGGGCCCTGTCGTACATATCCGTAAAACTGTGCGTGTTGTTTGCTTCCACCACACCAAGACTGTTCAGTTGCTTCCCAGCATACATAAGGGAAATTACCAATAGACCCCTGGATGTCTTCAAGAGTGATCTGGAAAGGAACCTAAAGTCGGTACCTGAATAACCAGGTTGTGGTTCGTACGTTGGTTTGCGTGTGGCCAGTAGTAACAGCCTAGATGATCAGGTCCTGATCCATCAGGAAGCCGGGTCATGGACCAGGCCGCGAGAGCTTTGACCCCCGGAACACCATCCAGGTATATTCCAGGTATAGGTATACCATTTCTAACATCCCTATGTTTCATCGCTGGTCGCTGCTTGGTCCACTCTCCCTGCTCCATGTGTGTGTGTGTGTGTGTGTGTGTACTCACATAGTTCAGGTTGCAGGGGTCGAGTCCAAGCTCCTGGCCCCGCCTCTTCACTGGTCGCTACTAGGTCACTCTCCCTGAACCGTGAGCTATATCATACCTCTGCTGACCTGTGTGTGTGTGTGTGTGTGGTGTGTGTTAAACTGCTGGCGTATTGATTTTCTGCTTGTGTGAACAACAACTTTCAAAACATTACAACTCAAAGTAATGTTGATTGCAGTGGTAACTATAGTTTGAGACAAGTGCCAGCAGAGTGCCACCGCCACTTTTACCTCCACAGTTATTTACACTTAACTACTGTCGTGGCAGTCATTGTTCTCGTAGTTACTCCCCCCTGACCTTGTCTGTCACAGAGAAAGTAAAGTTATCTCATTCCTCTCTCTCTCTCTCTCTCTCTCTCTCTCTCTCTCTCTCTCTCCTCTCTCTCTCTCTCTCTCTCTCTCTCTCTCTCTCTCTCTCTCTCTCTCGCTAAGACAATTTTCGCACAAGTAAGCAAACTTAATAATTCAGACGGACCAACGTAGCATTTTTTTTGCTTTGGTTCTTCAGCGGTGGTCTGGGACCGAGCTTCGGAGGCCTTCACCCCTGAAGACATCCTTCAGGGATCTCGTCGACGCTAAAACATGACGAAGAATATTATTTTCGTGAGGAAACGCTAAACCTGTAAGGGTCATATAGCGCCTGGGGAATGACTTTTCGAGGAAGAGAAGGGTAGCTCCAATTCCATGTATCAAGAGACCTTCAACATCAAGGCAACCCCTGTGAAGGGAACGTGGTGAGCTTAAACTCCTCTCTGTGATATATTAATTGCCTGTAACAGATGTAGATTTAATTAATGTGTCCAGTGTTGTGTTAAGATACATGTATGTCGTTCTGTTTATTCCGTTCTTGACTTTGCTTCTTTATACACACGTTATTCATAAAATTCTGTTTTATTTTATTTCCTTGCTTCCTACCACTGTGTCTGAAGTATTTTTCTTCTATAATATTTACTCAGTTACACTCTTCCAATACCTGCCTCACGCCCCTCCAACACCTCTTTCACACCATCTCCACATCACAGCCACTATACCCTCCACACCTCAGACATCCCTCCAACACCTTCTCGCACCACCTTCATACCACAAACACCACACCCATGCCACACCTCCCTCACACTACACAGCAACTGTCATGCCGGAAATGATCTCAAAGGTGACGCACTTACTGAGGTTTGGCAAGAAGGAAACAGAATGTGCTGAGTCTCGTGGGGTCTTGCGCAACATATTTCCACCAGAGATACTCTGATAACAGTAGTTACCCACTCAGACCCGCCCTTAGTTTTCTTGGACAAATCTATTTTGTAGCTTGTTCAGCTGTCAAAACTCTGGGGCCCAGTCCCTGGACCCATGATGTACCTCTGTAAACTTTTTGACTACCGCCCACAGGATGGGTACTCGATGCATAATAAATATATTAAACTAAAAAAAAATCTATTTTGTACGTGAGTGTTGAACTTCCCTCCCTGACCACTGACCTCCCCCAAGCTTAACCTTTGTTTTATTCACTTTTGGGATTAAAGTGGATAGAATTTTCCTGATAATAACTGAAATTAGATCTACTTCTGGTGTAAGGACACAAGAGTTCGGTTCTTTTCTGAGAGAGTAATGCCACTTCCGCCCCTTTCATGCTCTCACCCTTACTTTCAAACTTATTCTCCTTCCTCCAAACCTTTCTAAAATGCACCTTGATGCTGGTTGTGGGCTCTTGAATAAAAAAAATTGAGTTATTGACACCTTCTAGGATCAAACCTCATCACCTTCCATTTTCCAGGCGCTGTATGACATCGGATTTAGCACATTCCCATGATTACAACATTAATAGTAAAAATCCTGCTTGCAGTTTCATGTTCTGTCCTCCACATGCGAATTTCGTCAGAATTATGCTTAATAAGTAGCTTAAATCTTGAGGAAATCGTAAGTGCTCACGTAATTTCAGGGTCACAGGTAATAAGGATCAAGATATTTAATAAGCCTGACTCTGTGCATTTTTTCCCCTTGCACCACAGAGGGCGTCGACCTCAAATTATGACCTAATAATACCCTCTCTCTCACCTCCAGGTGACCTTCGTTGGAGTCATTTGGGTTCAAGGTTCACAAGGTGCACCCTGGCCTGGCCACATTAACGACGGAGGAGCTCAAGCAAAGGACAATCCACCCACGGTGGGTGGCGAAGGTGCTTATTCATTGATAGACCGAACTATTGACAGTTACGACGGCACGGTTGTAGCAGGTGACGAAGATGGCTTCATTATGTCCGAATCCAGGAGCCGGACGATGGTGGACAGGGTGTCGGCGTCTCCAGTCGAGCAGCTAAAACAAGATTCCCACTCCAAGGCGCGACGATTGGTGAGACAAGGAGCAGGGGCGAGGCGTCGACGACTAATGGATCCTGAACGACGACGCCAGTTGATACTGAGACGACAAAAACTGGGTCTTCCCAATTTAAAGATAAGAAGCAGACAGAGATTCACGGAGAATCAGGTATGGATTTCTGCATACACGACTTTTACAGACATGTGTTTGATAATAAAACTCATTTGCAACTTTCCTCAAATATAAAAATTAATATAAAAAGTAGAACCAGTGTTTCAGATTTAAATTATTTTAAAATTTGTTTTACTGTTACTGTGATTTTAGATTCTGATGATGGATAATGTTACATCCGAAACGTTAATAATAAAGAAATTGTATGTCCACTAAGATGGTGTTTGCCACAACATTGATCCTACTTTATATAGTGAAGATTCGTGTAACCTCTCTCTCTCTCTCTCTCACACACACACAACACACACACACACACACACACACACACACACACACACATATATATATATATATATATATATATAATATATATATATATATATATAATATATATATATATATATATATATATATATATATGTCGTGCCGAATAGGCAGAACTTGCGATCTTGGCTTAAATAGCAACGCTCATCTTGCCATATAGGACAAGCGAAAATTTGTGTATGCAATAATTTCGACAAAATCATTCTGAACCTAACGAAAAAAATATATTTCACTGTGTTTGTTTAGTATTAAATTATTGTAAACAAATCTAAAATATATTTAGTTGGGTTAGGCTAAAATAAATTGTTCTTGTTATAATAAGGTTAGGTAAGTTTTTAAAGATTCGTTTGGAGCAAAATTAAAATTTTTTACATTAACATTAATGAAAAAAATATATCTTTAAACGTATAAGAGAAATTTTTAGAAACGACCTAAATTTAAATGAGTTCTTGCTAATTGACCAGTTTTACATATTCGGCACGACATATATATATATATTATATATATATATATATATATATATATATATATTATATATAAATTTTTATTATCACACCGGCCGATTCCCACCAAGGCGGGGTTTGGCCCGAAAAAGAAAAACTTTCACCATCATTCACTCCATCACTGTCTTGCCAGAAGGGTGCTTTACACTACAGTTTTTAAACTGCAACATTAACACCCCTCCTTCAGAGTGCAGGCACTGTACTTCCCATCTCCAGGACTCAAGTCCGGCCTGCCGGTTTCCCTGAATCCCTTCATAAATGTTACTTTGCTCACACTCCAACAGCACGTCAAGTATTAAAAACCATTTGTCTCCATTCACTCCTATCAAACACGCTCACGCATGCCTGCTGGAAGTCCAAGCCCCTCGCACACAAAACCTCCTTTACCCCCTCCCTCTAACCCTTCCTAGGCCGACCCCTACCCCGCCATCCTTCCACTACAGACTGATACACTCTTGAAGTCATTCTGTTTCGCTCCATTCTCTCTACATGTCCGAACCACCTCAACAACCCTTCCTCATCCCTCTGGACAACAGTTTTGGTAATCCCGCACCTCCTCCTAACTTCCAAACTACGAATTCTCTGCATTATATTCACACCACACATTGCCCTCAGACATGACATCTCCACTGCCTCCAGCCTTCTCCTCGCTGCAACATTCATCACCCACGCTTCACACCCATATATATATATATATATATATATATATATATATATATATATATATTATATATATATATATATATATATATATATATATATATATATATATATATATATATATATATATATAAATCATTTACCAAACTGAGGCAGGCCAGGACTCGACCCTACGAGCCTTGTGCCGCCTCCAGAGACAGCACAATGTACGCATCACCTTACCACAGAGCCAGCGATCCTACAAGGTGATGCGTACATTGTGCTGCCTCTGGAGGCGGCACAAGGTTCGTAGAGTCGAGTCCTGGCCTGCCGCAGTTTGGTAAATGATTTAAAATCACTTGTTTCGTGATTTCATTGCTATATATATATATATATATATATATATATATATATATATATATATTATAAAATATATATATATATATATATATATATATATATATATATATAATATATATGTCGTGCCGAATATGTAAAACTGGTCAATTAGCAAGAACTCATTTAAAATTAAGTCCTTTCTAAAATTTTCTCTTATACGTTTAAAGATATATTTTTTTCATTGATATTGATGTAAAAATTTAGAATTTTGCACCAAAAGGAACTTAGAAAACTTACCTAACCTTATTATAACAAGCTCAATTTATTTTAGCCTTACCCAACTAAATATATTTTAGATTTGTTTACAATAATTTAATACTAAACAAACACAGGGAAATATATTTTTTTCGTTAGGTCCAGAATGATTTTGGCGAAATTATTGCATACACGAATTTTAGCTTGTCCTATATGGCAAGATGAGCGTTGCTATTTAAGCCAAGATCGCAGGTTCTGCCTATTCGACACGACATATTAATATATATATATATATATATATATATATATAAATAATATATATATATATATATATATATATATAAATAACTCTTGTTCAATTAAAGATTATTCATAAACTCTTCTCGTAATAAATCGCAAAAAATATTTCTCATGCATGGAAGACACTAACACGCATGAATTTAGCCTCGTTGTTCACCAGGTACAGGAGACTCCACTGCCCGTGACCAACACCAGCAGCACCTCTATTAGCACCACTACCTCCACCTCCAGAGTTTCCTCCACTAGCAGCACCACCTCCAGGTCAGCATTCCCATCTTTCAGCGCAGCTTCTGAGCTGCGACAGCGTTATAAAAAGCTTCCAGGTGGTTGGGGTATGAAGACCAACGTTAGCGACTCGGAAACTACTGAAGACGAGTCAGAGTTGCTGGAAACATCCTTAAGTACCACAGGATTAGCGGAGCGAAGGAGAGGTCTGATTAAGGCCTTGAAGCGACCTCTTCCTAGTAGACTCAGGCCCACACTCGTACGTACGACCACTTCTGTGCCCGCGGATGTTCTTGAGGAAAATAAGAGACTGCGCTATAGACCACTTCTCGCTGACAAGAAATCGGAATCGAATGTACAGACCACTGGCCGAACATCTTCCCACAAACCTGAACCTGCGTCTCTTGAGCATAACTCACCCGTCTATAATTCAAAGTCACAATCGAACGACTTTGATGAATCTGTGCAGAACCATGACTCTCTTATATATAAACCACAGCATCATCTTTATGAACCCTTGGCTCTTCAACCTGCATTCAACGATGAGTATGAACCTAGACCATATTACTACGAGACCGAATCTCCCCTGTACGTGCAAGTGTCAAAACCCAGGTCCACGCCTATGCCTAAGAAAGTGGTGCTCGACCCACTGATTACAAATACTCACACAGGAAACGAACCAACGTACAACACCCGGAACCAGCTGCACGATTCACTAGGTCCAGTTTATACTCCAAAACCAACACTCGCGGCGGAACCAGTTAATGGACCTGATCCAGCTTATGCTTCAGATGCGGTTCATGAGCAAAACCCTGTGTATGCATCAGATCCTAAATATACTTCAGATTCTGTGTACGATCCAGAAGTGATCTACGCCCCAGAATCAGCCTATGATTCACAGGAAGACTACACCTCAGACGAAGACTCTGAAGAGGACAAGCCGGGGGTAAGTAGCACCCCTGGTTTAGTTTTTAACTTGTGTGAGATTATCAGTGCTAGGAGTTGTGAAGGCGCTATATTTCTTCCCCGCTTATCGCGGTGAGATATTGGGCCACTATTAGCGAATGGAGAATGAAGCCTTCACCGCTCCTTGCTCTGAATAACCCGCAAGAATTGTTAAGTGCAGAATTAAACTCATAGTTGTAATAATGTTGGTAGAATTACCAATCATAAAAAATAATAATGAGACGTTTACATTGCACAAATAACCCGCACAGAGAAGAGAGGAGCTTACTACGACGTTTCGGTCCAACTTGGACCATTTACAAAGTCACATTAACAGAAACGAGAGAAGGAGGGAGTATATACAGGCCATCAGACATTGACGGGAATAAGAGAGGTAGTAGTAGTAGTAGTAGTAGTGGAGTCAGTCAGATACTAAGAAAGAGAAGCACTGCAAAGGAGCTAGGGGCCCACAGAGGGTAGGAGCAAGAACACAGAGGGGGGGGGAAATAAAAAGAACAAATACCCAAGGCAGAAGAAAGAAAACCCAAAGGAAAAAGAGGAAAGGGGAAGAGGGAGAAGGGGAAAAAAGAATCAGATTAAGTCACGGGTGTTCTGAAGTTTGGAGCATTTTACAATATAATGGGAAAGGAAGGCATCTACAGAGATAAAGCCAGGACTAAAATTCATACATGGAAAGTTGTATGTAAGGGAGGATTCAACCAGACGGCGACTGTGAAAGTTAGAAGTAGGATAGACAGTTTCAGCAGAAGACCAGTCAGTAGGATTACCGTGATCTCTGACATGAAAGAAAATAGTATTGTTAGTGTCGGCAAGCCTAACACTACTTTTGTGCTCCCTAAGTCTGTCAGAAAGAGATCGGCCAGTTTCTCCAAAGTACTGAAGAGGACAGGAGGAACAAGAAATAGAGTAGACACCAGGAGCATCTGTAGAAGGAGAACATAAGAACATAAGAAAGGAGGAACACTGCAGCAGGCCTGTTGGCCCATACTAGGCAGGTCCTTTACAATTCATCCCACTAACAAACATTTGACCTACCCAATTTTCAATGCTACCCAAGAAATAAGCTCTGATGTGCAAGTCCCACTCAAATCCAACCCATCCCACTCATGTATTTATCCAACCTAAATTTGAAACTACCCAAAGTCCTAGCCTCAATAACCCAACTAGGTAGACTGTTCCACTCATCTACTACCCTATTTCCAAACCAATACTTTCCTATGTCCTTTCTAAATCTAAACTTATCTAATTTAGTCGTCAGTGGTCAGTCGTCACGTGAGGTCACAGACCCTGAGCTGCTTTGGGGATTAGCGTGGACGGTTACAAAGCATGGCTTGCTTCTGCAGTGTTTTAAAAACTGAGGTTGGAGAGTTGAAGGAGGAGGTCTTGCTTCTCCAGGAGGAGATTAGGAGGCTGAAGGTCCACCTCAATGGGTCTGGGAGAGAGTGTGAGGTGGCTGGAGTTGTGGGGAATGAGACTTCTAGCAGTGAGGTGCAGTCTGTCTCTCGCTGTGAGGAGGCTGTAGTTGGGGAGGTAGCAACAGCTACCAGCAGTGAGGTGCAGCCCAGCACCTGCTGCAAGTGGCGAGTTGTTCACAGTAATGGGAGGCGCATCAGAGTAAGGAAAGTTAAGAGTGAAGATCTGAAGGTAGGAAATCGCTTCTCTGTTCTCCAGGATGAATGTACTTCAGTGGCCAGTGAAGGTAAGGGTACTACTGCCCTGCTAATGAAGGTAAGCGCATTCTTGTGGTTGGTGACTCTCAGGTAAGATATATTGACCGTGCTTTTTGTAATAGGAATAAGAAGATGAGAGATAGAGTGTGCTTCCCTGGAGCTGGTGTTGGGGACATTGTCAACAGGCTGGATAATATCATGTCAGGTAATGGGAACAAGCCCATTATCTGTCTCAGTGCTGGTGGAAATGATATTGGGAAGGGTAGGAGAGAAGAGCTGCTAGATAAGTACAGGTCAGCTATAGATTTCATTAAGTCTAAGGGAGGGATCCCAATCATATGTAGCATCTTGCCTAGAAGGGGAGTAGGAAATGAATGGTTGTCTAGGGCAATTGGTGTAAATTGCTGGCTAGACAGATACTGCAAGGAACTTGCAATCCCATTCATTGACAACTGGAACAACTTTTATGGCAAACATGATATGTATGCAAGGGATGGGGTACATCTCTCTGGGGCAGGGGTGGTAGCACTTGCAGACTCGATTGAGAAGGCCATTGGTGAAATGCCTATGATTTTAAACTGATGGAAGATAGAGGTATGGGTGTGTGTGGGAAACAAGCAGGTTGCAACACTAGGGTTGGAAACAGTAAATGTATAAAAGGCATTCAGCATGAAGTTATAAATAAAGACAATAGAACAGGTCAGCTAACAAAGGGGGGCAGCAGAGGGAAGCAAGGGACTAGCTCCCTTAAGGTTTACTATACTAATAGCAGGAGTGTTAGAAATAAGATAGATGAGCTAAGATTAATTGCAAGTGCAGGAAACATAGATATTATTGCTATAACAGAGACCTGGCTCAATCTGAAAGATAGAGAGATGCCCTCTGAATGTCACATACAAGGCTATAAATTATTCCACACTGACAGGGTCAACAGGAAAGGTGGTGGAGTAGCGATGTATGTCAGAGACAATTTAAATTGTTGTGTAAGACAAGATATTAAATTAGAAGCGTAGCCACTGAATCTGTTTGGTTACAGCTTCTCGAGGGCCGAGAAAAACTAATTTTGGGTGTGATTTACAGGGCCCCAAATCTTGATAGGGAGTGCAGTAAACTTCTATGGGACGAAATTCGTAAGGCATCTACATACGAAAATGTTGTGCTAATGGGAGATTTCAACTATAGACAGATTGACTGGAGCAATTTGACAGGAAATTTAGAGTCGGGTGACTTTCTTGATACGATCCAGGATTGTTTTTTAAAACAGTTTGTGACAGAGCCAACTAGGGGAAATAACCTCCTTGACTTGGTTCTTGCCAGTAGGGAAACACTAATTAATAATCTTGAGGTTAATGATGAGCTTGGGAGAGTGATCACAAATCACTCAGTTTTAATATATCATGGAATTCCCCTAATAATGGCAATCAAGTCTCCGTCCCTGACTTTCGCTTGGCTGATTTCATAGGACTGAAAAATTACTTAGGTGGGCTGAACTGGAATGACCTGACTAAGGGTCAGGTAGGTGGTGATGGTTGCCGATATGATGCTTTCCAGGGCATAGTTCTAGCTGCTCAGTCAAATTATGTTCCAAATAGGGAAATCAGATCAAACAAAAATGATCCTAAATGGATGAACAATAGATTAAAATATCTGATTGGTCAAAAGAGAGGCATATATAGGCAAATCAAAAGAGGAGAGGGCCAATTAAGAAATCGATATATTCAGTTAAAGAGAGAAATAAAAAAGGGAATTAGAAAAGCGAAAAGAGATTATGAGGTTAAAGTTGCAAGAGAATCGAAGACTAACCCAAAAGGATTCTTTCAGGTATACAGAAGTAAGATCAGGGACAAGATAGGCCCACTCAAAAGTTCCTCGGGTCAGCTCACTGACAGTGATAAGGAAATGTGTAGAATTTTTAACACATACTTCCTCTCAGTTTTTACACAGGAGGATACCAGCGATATACCAGTAATGATAAATTATGTAGAACAGGACGATAATAAACTGTGCACTATTAGGGTCACAAGTGACATGGTCCTTAGGCAAATAGATAAATTGAAACCTAACAAATCCCCAGGCCCTGATGAACTGTATGCAAGGGTTCTAAAGGAATGTAAAGAGGAGCTTAGCACACCTTTGGCTAATCTTTTCAACATATCACTACGAACTGGCATGGTGCCAGATAAGTGGAAAATGGCAAATGTGATACCTATTTTCAAAACAGGTGACAGGTCCTTAGCTTCGAACTATAGACCAATAAGCCTAACCTCCATAGTGGGAAAATTTATGGAATCAATAATTGCCGAGGCAGTTCGTAGCCACCTTGAAAAGCATAAATTAATCAACGAATCTCAGCATGGTTTTACAAAGGGGCGTTCCTGCCTTACGAATTTATTAACTTTTTTCACTAAGGTATTTGAGGAGGTAGATCATGGTAATGAATATGATATTGTGTATATGGACTTCAGTAAGGCTTTTGACAGGGTCCCACATCAGAGACTATTGAGGAAAATTAAAGCACATGGAATAGGAGGAGAAATTTTTTCCTGGATAGAGGCATGGTTGACAAATAGGCAGCAGAGAGTTTGCATAAATGGGGAGAAATCAGAGTGGGGAAGCGTCACGAGCGGTGTTCCACAGGGGTCAGTGTTGGGCCCCCTGCTGTTTCACAATCTACATAAACGACATAGATGAGGGCATAAAGAGCGACATCGGCAAGTTTGCCGATGACACCAAAATAGGCCGTCGAATTCATTCTGACGAGGACATTCGAGCACTCCAGGAAGATTTGAATAGACTGATGCAGTGGTCGGAGAAGTGGCAGATGCAGTTTAATATAGACAAATGCAAAGTTCTAAATGTTGGACAGGACAATAACCATGCCACATATAAACTAAATAATGTAGATCTTAATATTACGGATTGCGAAAAAGATTTAGGAGTTCTGGTTAGCAGTAATCTGAAACCAAGACAACAGTGCATAAGTGTTCGCAATAAAGCTAATAGAATCCTTGGCTTCATATCAAGAAGCATAAATAATAGGAGTCCTCAGGTTGTTCTTCAACTCTATACATCCTTGGTTAGGCCTCATTTAGATTATGCTGCACAGTTTTTTGGGCACCGTATTACAGAATGGATATAAATTCTCTGGAAAATGTACAAAGGAGGATGACAAAGATGATCCCATGTATCAGAAACCTTCCCTATGAGGATAGACTAAGGGCCCTGAAACTGCACTCTCTAGAAAGACGTAGAATTAGGGGGATATGATTGAGGTGTATAAATGGAAGACAGGAATAAATAAAGGGGATGT